AGGAAATTACAAATTAGCGTCTGATTGGAGCTTTTACACGTCGGTTCTCAACACTCATAATGTTGGTAGGAATAAAAAAAATACATCATAGTGGAGAAAAGTTTCAAGCTTTGAAAAGTGAGAAAGTTACAAAAACCCACCATGAACAAGTTCAAACTAGAGTTTCATCTCTTGGGGTCAGAATGACGTCTTACTTTTCACCTTTGACCTTTGCGGAGTTGATTTTCTCAGATTTTAGTTCTCGTTGATTCTTAAGCTATTTCTTCAACTAAACTTGTTTTATTTTTCTAGAGATCGTTTCCCAGCGCAAGTTCAACAAATCTGGCTCAAAAACACACGAACATCGACGGGTTTATCTGGAAATCAGAGCCTGGAGAAAAACCAAAGAGCTTTTTATTTATTTTTTCCCAAAGTGTTCCTGGCTCAGCGTTTCTGTTTTCTGTGAGAAGCAATTTTTAGAAAATTATCCGTACTTGTTTTAAGCATTTTGCTTATCATAAAATCAAAACAACAAAGCCAATTTATCACCTTAAATTAAAGAAAAATGTTTTGTTTTTCTAAATGTTTTTCATGTTCAAGATCTGAGCAATTTTGTGCATACCAGCTTTACAAAACTATGGAGCTAAATTGGTGCCAAAAACGTTGTTCAAAGATTTTAAATTAAAAACTTGTTAAAAACTGTACAATAATGTAGATGAAACTGAATAAAATCTGAAACTAGAAAAAACTAAATCTACTGAAAGGTAATTTTAACATTGAGACATAATTATGAACCTGAAAAATACTTTTGTAATTGAAAAAACATATTTTAAGAAAAAGTTCAAAACCACAAAACAAACTTTATGGCCCCATTTTAGTTCCATAGGGTATAAATTTATGTCTTTATGTCACATTGAAAGAAAAGTTGCAAAACTACAACTGAACTTTGTTTAGAAGTACCAAAGCAAACAGGCAAAAACACAAATGCAAGCCACACTTTTCAGATTTTAATCAGTAAGACATTTTTGACCTCAAAATGAAACTTTAAGGTGTTTTAAAACTTTTGAATTCATTTTGATTTGTTTGTTGGGAGCTAATTTCCAAACTTGATCTTTAATTACGAACAAAAATGTCACCAGAAGGCGAGGATGTGAAGTGAGGACGTCACCTTGGTTTGGGTTCTCAGTTGATTTAATGTTCTCATGTTCGCTGTAATAATTCATGATCCCTGCAGCTGTAAATGTGACTCCAGAGCAACATCCCTCACTCCAAATGAAGCTCTGACTTTAGCGCAGTGATGACAGATCGGCGCTGGATAATTCATCCGAAGGCTCTAAAATATGCAATTACTCTGCAGCCGCTCCGGATCCATCGATCACCGTGATCCGCTCGCAAAACGTGACGCTTCTGTCAACGCCGGAGTCAAGAAACAGACAGGTGGACGCTTGGTCCCGATTTACTGCTAACTTCAAAATTCAGAGGACCAGTAAATCGATTTTCTGATTTATTGATTTTTACATTTTCTACAAAAAGTAGCAAATGTAAAATACGGAGGGAGTAAAGTGTCATAATGTTGCTTTGTTTTACATCTTCTTGGATTTTTTTTTTATTTCGTTCTAGACTTTCCGACTCAGGAATTATGAATATTTCAAATGGCGTCTACGGTGGACTAATCCTGCCAAAATTAGCATTAAATGTAGAAATAAATAAATGGTTTGTTGAGGTAATTAAAGTGACAAATATTGCAAAAGGTAAGATATTTTGAAACTAATTTGAGTGTACAGTGTGGCACATTAACAATTGTCTATTATTTTAAACAATGTGAGACTATCATGATTATTTTTCTTTTATTTCCAATCTTATCGTTTTAGTAATTAGCCTCCTTATTTTTTGCTATTTATTTTTTGTTATATTTGTTTTAATTTACTGACTCTTTCGTCAACCATATATTAATTTATTTCCTCCTCTAATATTTCAGTTTTGATTTCTTTTTCTTATTATTATCAGAAAAGAGGAAACTGATGAAATAATAAAAATAAATAAACAGGAAGGGAGAAAATGCAGAGGAAATATTGATGTAATTTAAAAAAAAACATTAAGCGTAAAGCTGTTCAGAAGCAGTTGGATAGATTTTCCTGCGGTCTTTGAACGCATCAGAGCCTCAGCAGCTCATCAGTGAAAACACATCAGCGTTTATTTACTCCTGCGAAGCCACTCAGCAGAAGAAGCGTTAGTATCCATTACCGAGTTGTTCAGCAATAATATCTCCGCTGCAATTACGAGTGTCATTCAAACCTGGCTTTTAGCATAATGGAGTCATCAGAAATTAGCATAAAGGCTAATTTGTTTGATTATGCGTGAATTTGGGGAATTAGTGTCTAAATGATGACTTCTGTGAGGTGCTGGGTGTTCATAATGCGTCCGTCATGGCGGCAAATCACCGACATGCTGAGAAAATCTGGTGAGTTTCATTTCTGACATTCATGGTTTATTAAGTCGCTTCTTCCTGCGACCCGGTTCTGGTTCTGAACCAGCAGAAACATCCAAATGGGTCACGAAAGATTTAGCTTCAAGATCATTTAATCACTGATGGTAAAAAAGAAAATAACTTTGTGAATAACAAAGGGATTTCAAACAGACAGCTTGTGATTGACTTTAAAACTGAATGTCTTCCAGAGATGCTCTCATATGGAACTAAATTAGGGCCATACAATTTGTTCAATGAAAGTGGGAAAAAAAAAAGTGAACTAAAAAAATACTTTGAAACTAAAAAAAAAAAAGCTTTAAAACTGAAAATAAAGATTTGAATAAAACATACAAAAGTACAGGCTACTAATGAAACACTAAGATTAGAAAAAAAAATAACTGTTGAAAAAATGAAACAGCTTGTTTTCATTATCATTCAGAAAGTTTTTACACTTTTTGGTGCAACAATTGGCACATTAATTACTTTATTTCTATATTTCCAATTTCGGCAAGATCAGAACTCCATACAAGTGGAGTGTAAAACACACTGAAACCAATTCAAGATGTAGAAAAGCTTTATTAGTTTTTACAGTATGTAAAATCATCACCCGTTAACCCTTCATATCAAACACAATCAGTTTTATAAATAACAAATCAGCCAATCAGAAACATCCTCTGTAGTGATGTCATCAACCTGAGCTTGAACCCGATCAACAAAAACAAACCGACTTCTGAACGATTTCTGAACCCAAATTACATCAGAACCAGGAAAAAGGTAAAAAATTATTAATTTACAAACATTCAGGTTAGACTGGCTGGTTATTTGTTCTGAAAAATACTAAATATAATATTTTAAAAAAACAATAAAAAAATCCCATCAGCAGATGGTAAAAATGTGTTTTAATGGCTGGAGGTTTAAAAAAGTCAGTTCAGGTTACAGGTTCACACGCTGGGGGGAACGGACGCACCAAATAAAACTTCTGGTCCCAGAAAATTATTTAATGTTCATTTAACGTCTAAAAGACAAATATATGCAACGTACGTATGAGTTTAGTTCTGTCAATGTTTAAATATATTTATGTTGAATTCTTAGAGAAAATGCACCTTTAATTTGTACTTCTGCATGCGTATATGGAGGACTGATCCTGCCAAAATTGAAAATATGCAAATAACGTAATTAAAGTGCCAAATATTATAAACAAAGGAGAAAATGCAAAGACAAAATATTAAAGGACGTAGATAAAAGAAATATTTAAAAATACCCAATAAGGAAACCCACTGAAGTAAATTATCCATTAATAATAGCAATAATTTATGGCACACTGCAATCAAATAAGTTTGGACATTTTTTATTTTTTTTTGGAGACAATATTAGGCAATTTAATTATCTTATCAAAATATTTAAATAAATTCTGCATTTATTTAGTTTTGGCATGATCAGTCTTCCATAAGGCTGAATGTGGAAATTGAGAGATCAAATTCATGATTGATGAAATTAAAGTAATGACATTCCTTCCTGTGCTGGGTTGGAAGTGATCCTGTAACCAGAACTGAGTGAGCCCAGAGTTGGCACCAAGAGTTTTGAAGCAGTTTTTCCTCCGTAGTTTCAACCAAACAGAAAAAACATTCAGCTCAAGCTGGGAGGACTTCACCCTCAGTGAGGCAGCTTGGAGGAAAAGCCCAACAATCTGAAGTCAGTTTTCCACAGACGTGTTTATGTCGAAGTTCGTCACAGTTTTAGATGTTTTTGTGCAACATGGCGGCAGCGGCGTTGCTACCTGGAGGCGTCTGGGATGAGTCTTTTAAACCAGCGACCCACGGCGACGTCGACCCGGAGCACCAAGGTGACGCCGATCAGCAGGAAGCAGCAGCTCACCACGAAGCCAGACGCCTCAAACAGCAGCCTGAGGAAGAAAACATACTTTAGAGGCAAATTACCACCTAAAGAGGCAGATTTTACCTCCAAAACGCGTTAAAAACCACAAAATACATTCAGATACTTACTTGGGTGCGAAGACCTTCCACACCATTAGGTGTCTCCTGAGAATAGCAGCAGCACAGACTGAAGAAAACACCTGAGAAAGAATGAGAAACCAGTTAAAGCAAAACTGCACACAAAGACATACGGAAGAGGATTAGTGCCACTGAAAAAAACTGGAAAAAAAGAACTTCAGCTTAAATTATAAAATCGTAGAAGATCAAAGTCAGAATTCTAGGAAAAGTCAAAATTTGTAGAAGAAAAGTTAGAATATTCAATTTTATCAGAATTTTGTGATTAAAGTCAGCATATTGGGAAAGAAAATTAAGAATTCTGAGAGAAATAGTCAAAATTTGGATTAACAAAAAGGTCTGAGATTAAAGTCAACATTGAGAAAAAAAATCTGAATTTTAAGAAAGTCAAAATTTTGACAATAAATTGAAAATTCTGAGAAAATATAAGGAATTCAAAGAAATAAATGACAAAATTCAAAAGCAAAAAATAAAAATCCCAAAATTAAAATGAAAATGTACAGAAAAAGAGATTAAAGTCTGAAATTTTCCCCCGGATCCAACAGAACCAGGCTGGACCGACCTGTGCTCCCAGAATAAAGAGGTAGCGCGTCGACAGCTGCAGCAGCGCGGCGCTGAACTGATGCGGTTTCTCTCTCAGTCGCATTTCCATCACGGCGTCTTCGCCTTCTTCGCCGTGACCTTTCACCCCCCTGCTGGCCCTGACCTCCCGCACCAGAGGCCAGAACAGCAGCAGAGGACAACCCACTGGTGACAACAGCAGAGTTTATTTATTAAAAAAACAGGAGAATAAATAATATTTCCAGTGTTACAACAAAACATATAAAAATAGATTTTTTTTTTCTTTGCCTTTAGCGTAAAATCAGCTAAAATACATGCAGGTTTGTGTAAAATAGCATCTTAACCTGCAAATAATATGTGTGAGGAAAACGTGTTGAGGGTGACCAGGCAGGCGGGCAGAACGGTGCCAGTGTGTCCATCTGGAAACCCCACAAAGGCGGCGCCCCATTGGATGGAAGGGAAGGTGGGCAGGTGACCAGTGGAGTGGAAGAACTGGGAGGCAGCCAGAGACCAGAGAACCACTGGAGTCCAGGCGACGCTGAAAACCCCTGGATGAGAGAAGAGTCCGTGTTCAACCGCCACAATGCAGAAACACCACCACTAAGATTCGGGTGGATTTCCTGCCTGTGTTGGCTGCAGGTGAGCCGCTGAGGTTGGCGGCGGCGGCGTGGATGTGCAGCAGCGCCGCCATCTCCAGCAGCAGCAGCAGGAAGGCCAGCGCCATGCCCTCCGGGTGCAGCAGCAGCAGCCCGACCCCCAGCAGGCCGCAGAGCAGCAGCAGCGGGGCGGAGTACACCGTCCCCAGGCCGTACGCCTCCACGGCGGGCCGCCCGTCCTCCTCGCCGCCCGTCTCCCCGTCCTCCAGCGAGCGCCGCATGCGCTGGTAGATCTGCGGGATCAGGTGGCGCAGCTCGGCCTGCGGGCTGATGCCGGTGCTGGCTCGGTAGCGCGGCGGGAGGGCGGGGCTCCTGGCCGAAGCGGCGGCGGCGGCGGCGCGCGTCTTGGCGAACACGGTGAGCGGGTCGGCCCAGATCAGGGAGACGCCGAGGCCCAGCAGGGCGAAGGCGGCTCTGGGCAGGACCAGCTGCGCCACGCGGATCAGCTCCGCCAGCTTCCTGAAGCCGTCCTCCGGCGTGGCGCTGACGGCCCAGTGGAGGCCGGCGCAGACGCACAGCAGCGGCAGGACCCAGCGCGCGGCGAACGCCGTCCCGCCCGACGAGTTCAGGTTGCCGTAGTGACACAGCCAGAGCCGCAGCAGGTAGGCGGCGACGCCCAGAGAGACGACGGACAGGATGTAGTAGAGGTTCTTCAGCTGGCTGTCCTGGAGGCGGGACAGCGGGGACAGGAACGGCGACGGCGTGCAGCCGCCCTGCTCCTCCCTGCAGCCGTGGAACGACAGCGAGACGCAGGCGCACAGCACCAGGCCGCCCAGGCAGCCAATCAGAGAGCTGCTCTCCTTCCTCAAGGCGGCCTGGGTCAACGCCGGCGACGGCGGCAGCCCCGCCGACTTCAGCGGGTCAGGGGTCAGAGGGACAAGATGGCCGTCCCAGTTGAGGCGCACCGGAACGTAGAGCGCCAGAGAGAGCAGGAGAAAGGTCACGACCCGGCCTTCGTAGATGACGTAGCTGTCGGAGAGCAGCGAGGCGCAGCGGAGGAGCGGCACGGCGAGGGACGGCGCCAGCAGGCGGCGCGCCGACAGCTTCCACACTTTGGCGCCGTTCTTCAAAACGGGTGGGCGGCTCAGTCGCCACGCCCTCCAGAGGAAGAGCGCCTCGGAGGCGAAGGCGCCGGCCGCCAGACACCACACCGCCTCCACGTAACCGCGGGCAACCAGCTGCACAGCGGCGACGGCGACCCCGACGGTCAGCGCTTCGGCAACCGGACCCTTCAGTCCCGCACGCTTCTCCTCCGTCAGCACGGCGGACAGCTCCGACATCACCAAACACGCCAGGCAGGCGAAGGTGAGGACGGCCAGACCGGCCGCCATCTTGGCCGGGTTGAACCTGGCCCACGTGGCTCGGCAGGTGTCCCTGACGGAGGTGAGGTAGGCCCGCAGGGAGGAGGCCAGGCCAGGTGACGGCGGCCGCCCGGCGCCCACCGAGCCCTGGTAATCGGAGGCGAGGCGAGCGAAGGCCACCTTCAGCTCAGAGAGGCTCTCTGGAGGAATGTCACTGGACAGAGACGAGTACGTCTCCAGGAAACGGTTGACCTGCAAGACAATCAATCATTATTGATCCATCACTGAAATAACCATCAACTAACTAATCAATTAATTAGTTAGTTGATCAACCATTTGCTGAAATAAAAGACTCAGAAATTTAATCAAAACTCAGAAAAAATATTAACATTTTGCATTTAAGACAAAAATCCAGTTGTTACCTGGATCAAATTCTGGAAAATAAATCTATTATTATTATCAGTTAATACAGAAATAAGTCAACAGGTTAGATCTATACTGCATAGACGTTAAGCAGCTTTTCAGCTGTAAATGATGAAACTTTCACAAAAGGAATTATATTTAGTTGCAATAAAATGTTGATTTTCTCATGTGAAAAGAGAACTTGATTATTTCTTTATTTGCATTTTTAAATAATGTAAAATAATGCTAAAAATAATGAAGCTGTTAAATGAAAACTCGTTAGTTTGAGCTGTAAAAGCTGAGGACAGCACCTGTTTTGTGTTGATCCACAGCGCCTCCAGCTGGCTGAGGCGCCTCACTGCAGCCTGCGTTTCCTCGTGTGGGGGGAAGAGAGGCAGCAGGACTTGACCCACGCTGCTGAACGGGATGGGGATTCCCAGCAGGAGCGCCAGAGTGGGAACCAGATCCGTCTGTGGGACGACATCCGGCTCATCCTGTGGGAAAAATAAACATTTTTCATGTTTCTGTGATTTACAGCTCGGCTCTACGGAAGACCTGTAATGACAAAAATAACAAACAAATGTTAAAATAAAGAAACGCCTGGATGAAATAATTAATGTGTCAAATAATGCATCCAAAAATAAAAAGAAGTTTAAACTTATTTGATCATACAGTGTGACATAAATTAACATTAAAATTTATTAATTCATTTTCTTATTTAATACATTTTTCATATTCTGTATTTTTTGTTCCATTTTTAATCGATTTTATTAAATATTTGTACTTTATTTAACCATACATTGATTTATTTTCTCCTGCAATGTTTCCCACCTCAGTCGGCGGTCCAGCAAAGATGGCGGACGGGCTGTAGAGGAAGAGCGCAGCGTCCGTCTCCTTCTGGCTCTCCCCTCCGTGGTCTCCGGTGTCGGTCATGCCGTGGTCGCCCATCACCACCAGCAGGGTGTCGTCCTGCAGGCGCTCCATCACCGACCTGGAAGGAGAACCCAGTGTGAGCGAAACCCTGCGGCTTCCGTCCACCTCGGCGCCCGTCTGCGTCCTGCAGTCCGACCTGATGACGCCGTCCATCTGGGTGAGCTTGTCGGCCATGGCCGGGTGGTCGGGTCCGAACCGGTGCCCGCAGTGATCCACCCCCAGGAAATGGGCCACCAACACGTCCCAGTCGTCCCCCACCACTGAAACAAGCATGGAGGGAAATGCAGGCTGAAGTTGGCTTCTGATTGAAGAGTGTCCAAAAATTAGACTCAATAAAAGCAAAACGGAGCCGACAAAGAAAATACAACTAAAACAGTAATAAAAATACTCTTAAAAGTTCAGTTTGTCGGAACTGATGGAGGTGAAGAGCTAAGATGGCCGCTGTGGGTGTTTCTACATACTGGTGGTGTAGAGGTGCTGCAGGACGCCGTTGTCCACCGTGTGCAGGTCTTTGACGTTAAAAGACGGGAACGGCAGAGAGCGGTAGAACTTCTTAGGGAAGAGGTTTTCCCAGGTATCGTCGCCCATAAACACGACCCGCTTACCTGCAAATGAACCCAAAATAATAAGAACTATTAAAACTACAAAGATGATTTAAGTAGGAAGAAAAACAGAGAAAAGACAAAATAGAAATAAAGATACAGAACAGAAAATAAAGAGAAAAGAAAGCAGAAACAAAATAAAAAATAAATAAAGACAAATACAAGGAAAGCAAAGAAAAAAGACAGAAAGAACCAAGGAAAAGAAAAAGAAGAGATGAATACAGACAGAAATGAGAAAGGAATAAACCAAGAAAAAAAATAAAGACAGAAACAAACAAAGAACTAAAGGAAGAAAAGAGGAAGACAGAAAGGATGAACAAAAGAAATAAGAAAAGAAGGTGAAAAACTGAATTAAAGAAAAAATAAGCACATATTTTGTTCAGTTACGTGTAAGCAGCAGCCTCTCTGTTTCTACCCCTCAGCATGACGCTGCCACCCCCATGTTTTCCAGCACAGATCCCCACCAACTCACCCATCTGCCCCAGCTGGTGGATCAGGTTGTCCTCCAAGATGGCGCTGGAGGCAAAGTTATTGCCAACGTCCACAAAGGTGGGCAGGGAGCCGGTGGTGAAGCCCTTGATCCTCTGCATGGTGGTGGTGGGAGGGTCGGCTCTGAACGGGTACAGGCGGCTCTGCGCGGGCCGGGCCGACACCGTCTCCTCCAGCACGGGCAGCTTGTTCTCGTGAGGTCGCGGCGCGGTCTTGGTGGGGTCGAACCGGGCGAAGTCGATCTTCAGGGCGTCGATGATGAGGAGGACGGCCCTGCGGAAGCGGGGGGGACCCCGGCAGAAGTCCGCCGGCTCCGCTCCGGGCTGCAGGACGTCCCCGCAGGCGCTGGTCCGGTTCACCTCCAGCCTCACCAGCAGGAAGCCGCCCACGAAGAGGTAGATGCCCACGAAGTAGGCCGCGCACAGCCACAGGAGCAGGCAGAGAACCGTGAGCCCCTTCATGCTGGAGCGGAACCAACGGAGTAATTTGATAAGTTTAGGTAGAAACTGGCTAACATCACCGGCTAGCTGCGGCTAATTCGTCCTGTTTCATTCACTGCTGACCTTGTATCCCTGGGATTTCACCTCTCGGGGTCAGGAGGCGGCCGTGAAGCTGTGTGTGTGTAAACACCACAGAGGTCCAGGTGTCTCAGGTAACCACGGAGCAGA